ACACTGACGCAGCTCGAATGGGAAACTCTTCCTCACCCAGCGTACTCACCAGACATAGCGCCTTCTGATTACCACTTGTTCAGATCGATGCAGCACGGCTTGAGTGGTACACGCTTCCGAAATGTTGAAGAAGTGCGAGAATGGGTGGACGAATGGATTGCTTCGAAACAAACATCGTTTTATCGAGATGGTATCGCCCAGTTGCCAGAAAGATGGCAAAAAGTTGTAGAAAGTGATGGAAAATACTTTCATTGAAATAATTTAAATAGATTTTTTACAATAAATGCTTTTTCTCAGTATTTTTTGGGCGGAAACTAAGTTAAGGTCCTAATACAACATTAATTGATTTTAAATAACAACTCAGTTAATTATTAAATCGACTGTTTCCAAAATTATTCCGTCTCCTACGAACCCGAACCGGCGAGCGATCAAGAACGCGACGCATCGCAGTTACAAATTGGCGCCCGAACAGTTCTAGAAAAAGAAAAAAGAAGGCAGGCGAGAAATAAGAAAAATGAAGCAGTGGATTTACACACTGTCGAAAGAGAACATAATAAAAAAGATAGCCGAACTAGGATTGCCTACAGATGGAACATTAGATGAACTGAGAGGAAGTCTCAATAAATTTGTAATGGATAATTCTCAAGCTTTCGCAAACGGAAACGAGGAGGAAGGAACGAGCCGCGCATCAGAGATGATGCAAAGCGTTGATCAGGATATGATCGCCAAGACAATCAACCAAATAAGGAAATGGAACTGTCAATGTGAGGGAAATGACCCCATTTCATTCCTAGAGCGTATTGAGGAATTGCAGAATAACTACGGTTATACGAATGACCAGATGCTGCAAGACCTACCTGAATTATTAAGAGGCGATACATTGATATCATAACAATAGACATTCATGGAGAGAATAGAATGAGTTTCTAAACGCATTCAGAGAGCATTTCTTGCCGTACCATTATCGTTTCCAAAGAAAACAGGAAAAGAGGATGCCATAAAGGTTATTAGTATCGTCCGTTTTTCGGTACGGGCAGAATATTGGCTCAATAAGAAATATTCCTGCTACATTTATGAGCTATTATGTAGAAGAAACGTCGACAGCAGGTCTTAAAAGATAACAACCTTTGACTTTGAGAGATTGACAGCTGTACCATTTGTACAGTAACATTGTTTCTTTCTGTAGTCACTGTGCGCTCGGGATCGCGCCAGAGATGTCATTTCCGAGCGGCATCTCTGAGCGTTATCTAGGGAGAGGAGAGTGTCATAGGCGTGGAGCGTCAGGTAGTTGAGTGGTTTAGAGCAGTCGCCCGGCAAACGAAAGACCCGGGTTCGAGTCCCGGCCTAGCAAAATCGCGCTCTCGATATTTTTCTTTTTCTGGGACGAAAAGATACGCAGACCTCGAACGCACGTCGTCCCGCCGCCACCTAGTACGCCCTGCTCCTTCTATGGTTTCTGAGTGAGGACATTAAACATATATGTTACGTATCTAATATGTTATCTAATATGTAACGTTTACTATTTGCATAGTAGGAATATAAACATCTTTTAATTGCGCGTTCTAAAAATTTGTTTTTAGGATCAAAATACAAAATTATATTATATATCGAATAATACACAAATTCACACTCGCGCGTACACGTCCATAATATAATTGATATATATATATAAAATTATACATATATTTATACGATATGATGTTTATATGATATAGTAACTATGTGTATAAAATTATACATATATTTATATGATACGTATAATTTTAATTACATGAATCTGTTTTTAACATTTGTGCAGTTATACGTGGTTCAAGGAATTTATAAACGGCACTGCTCTCCAGGAAGCTATCCAGATAGGAAAAGGAGGTCACGATTGCACACATGTTTATAAAGAATGCTTTATAACATCAGGAATGCTTAAAAATATAATGATGTAGTTTGGTATATTTTAATGTCCGCACCTGCCGCAGTGAACGAACTGCATGAATATTGAAGCCTATTGTAGTGAATTTGTGTAAATACATATGTCTAGAAGACGGAAAAAAGTTTCCAAACAGCACATTGATATCTTTTGTCCTGCTGTTTATAGTAAAGTAAAGAAAGTATGGCCTGTAAGAACTTAATCGCAGTTTTTTGGTGACTATGAAATAAAATTATTCATGGGAGAATCTCGTTACTTGTGAAACAAGTCAGACGCATGTTCCAATTTATCCTTCGGTCTTTATTTCAAACATGCGCGGTGGATCTATTTTCCTTGTTCAAATATTTTGTTTTATTTCTGAAGTGCCAAATTGATATTGTATTTTTTCTGGCGTAATTACAGGATTAACTAATTCTAACATAATTATATATTCCGGAGAAAGAAAAATACCCAAAAATAGAATGAGTCTAGGTTCGACTCTTAGCTGAGACAATATTTTCCATAATACAAAGCAAACAATTAACAAATAAATTGATAGTCACTTCATATATAAATAGGAAAAGGGGAATTTAATACATTCTTAATCGAGAATAAGAGATCATTTGAACATGGAAGGTAGATTCACCGCATATATTTGAAATAAAGATCGAAGGATTTGATCGAAGGAGTGAATTTGACTTATTTCAAATAACGATATCCTTTCGTGTATAATTCTATTTAGCAATCGAATCAAAGAATCGCGATTAGACTCTTATCCATACAGCACCAAATGTCTAAAATACATCCCAGAGACGTTCCAGGGACTATATGATATCTCTGGGATGTCTCTGGGATGTATTTTGGACATTTGTGCTGTGCTCGTATAGATTACCCGAGCAGAAATGTATCTAGTAGATTTGATTTCAAGACTAGTAGCTAGATAGTAATGACTAGATAAGTTTTCTAGCCAGTCACTAGCTTATGACTGGCAAACTACTTCTAATCAAACTTTAATTATCTAGCTGCTGTCTAGTCACTAAATAGAAAATGAATAGTAGGTGGCGCTGTCTTTTTTAAAATATCCAGTCTAGCTATTATCTCGCCACTAGCAGGATTACATTACTTTGCACGTCGAAAAGAAGGTTATGTTACAATATTAAATTCTATCTAGTCACTATCTAGTACCAATATGTTA